GCCAGCTTCGACTTTCTGCACGGCTCAGCCGAGCCTATGCATATGCGTTCGGCTCGGCTGAGCCGCTCAACCATGATCGGGAGCTGTACGGGCTATTGTGAATAGCCCGTACAGCAGGCTCTCGTTTCGAATTAACTGATGGACTCCCGTAACCGAAGCTAGCCGAAGGATCGGCCGAAGCTACGGCTAGATCCTTCGGCAGCTTCGTGAATAGACCCCACAGAATGGTAACACTCTAAGTGTATGTGTTAGAACGTATTACTTTAGGATAGCTTTTTTCCCCATGAGTCTCTACATTGTGATGCACGCAAGGGAAATAAAACACAGTTTGCGTACATTGCTAGCATACCATTAAAACAAGATTAAGTTTGATTAATGAGGACACACATTAGCATGATGGTGACTTTTCACAAGTTTGCGCTCGCCAAGAATTTAAATGACATTGTGTTCACTTACATGAGCATCTGATTCTTGCGCAGTGAACACAAATGTCATCCAGATCATGTTGCGACGTGGGGATTAATCTGGGGAGGAAATGTTTTTTCAGATACACAATATATAGATATAAATATATATATATATATATGGAAAAAAAACTTCTATAATGTTTCCTACCTAATTATCATTTTACTGCACATTATACTGAAGGCATACAAAGCTTTTGTCTTAGACTATGTTAAAAATTGTGAAAGGTGTGTTACAAAATACAGCTACCTAAAATCAGCCATCTGTCAGTTTTACAGCAATTTCACAATTTCTGAAATTGAGACCATTGACAATTTTACAATTGACTCATACACAGAAACTTTCAACAAACGCCCATAAAAGTTCTTTACGACTTTGAAGCCAGGAATCAACGTGAACTGTCAGTGAGGAAAGGAGACAGAGTAAAGGTAATAATTGATTTTAACATTTTTGTTTTTGCGGATTTGCTTTGCAATGCAGATGTGGCTCTTTTGGTATGAGAAATCTCAGTAATTACAATGACTGAAACAATATGAACCAGTTTTACTGCCTAAAAAACTGTAACTTGTCTACCAACCTTACTGACTAGGAGCCCTTTCACATGGGCTTTGCGATCAGCTCTGCCTGTCAGCTTTTTTCAGGTGGACCTGTTTAGAAGCCCAATATTAGTCTATAGGAAGCCGGATCTAAACGTTTACACTCGGTTACCCCAAGCTCTAGACAGGTACGGAAAAACAAACGGATCAGAGTTCCATTTCATTGGACATGATCATGCCGGATTGGAGGTAATAGATCAACATGGGTTCGGTAATTTCAGTTTTTTCCTCCATTGCAGGGTAGAGGAAAAAACTGGACCAACGTGGAGGCCTGGTCAGACTGTGTGAAAGGGGTCTTATCACCTCAATCAAATCAACAAAAAACAAGCAGACTATCTTTAGTTTAAAAAATGAAATATATATACAACTTCTATATACACAGTTTGGCCATTTGCTAAATGGTGCAAATTTCAAAGAAGGAAGAGGGACTAAGTTACTAAAAACAGATAGGCCGCTCACTGCACAAAGGGAATTTACTCTTTGCAAGGAAATGTTACTTAGCTTACTAAATGAGGTGACTAATTATGTGCAAACAAAAATACAGTCATTGTTCTAGTTTTCCTTGCACTCGATTGGGTATTCTTTGCTAAGTGAATTTTCACTTCTTTAACTAAGCTAAGGAGATATATTTTGCAAAGCAAACATTTCCTTGTGTTCAGGTGACCATGCTGACCAATGATTGTTCTCCATTTCTGAGTGATATTTGAAATACAGAGCACAGGGCTGCTCTGCTGAGTACAGAGTACAGATCGTACACCAGCAGCCAAGGAGGGGAGAAGCATTCGATTAAAGATGAGACTCCCTTATGTGCTGAGATGGAAGGGCTACCTGGGCGTCCCTGCTCAGAGGATGAATGAAGGAAATGTCATATTCTCACTCAAAAGCTGTCCACGTCCTCTTATATGCAGGACAACAAAACTGTTTCATTTTGGTTCCGTACCCCTCAAGAACTCCACCGCATCTATCTGTCCTTGCCTTATCACTGTTGGAGATGCTCTAGGGAAGTAGGTTCCTACATTCATGAGTGGTGGAGCTGCCCTGATATCTCTGGGTTTTGTGCTTCAATTCTTTTTTGCTTGCTATCAACCTATGTGTATCTCTGATATCCACTCCTCCCCTCAGGTGGCACTCCTGTAAATGATACCAGGTCTCCTCTCTGCAACATTAAAAAGGGAGTTCTGTATCAATGACTACTCGCAGCCAGAGTGGCTGGGCCAGGGACTTTCCTCATCCTCCTGCTCTGATTGAGTTGGCACGGACATTGACCACTGTTTATATGATGGAGACCCTGGCGGCATCTGATCAGAATAGGAGTGATCAGGCCTTGGTAGGTCTTGGTCTTGCTGGGTGGCTTCCAGAGATTCACTCGTGTTCAAGCAAGTGGTCCATCAGTAATATGAACCACCTTCCTTATTTGTATTACTATCCTTGCATCTTGGGACCCTGGGAAGATGCTGGTTTATGAATTAAAATGGACAGAATCTTTCAGGGATATTCATTCCATTACAACCTAATTCAATTGCAACCCTGTTCTTCCCACCTTTCACCACTCCTTATCTCTCCCTTTTGACTCTTTGACCCCCCCCTTCCTATGTTATAGACTTGTTTTATTTAAAAATGCCTTACACTACTGCTCTGGGTCCTAAGGTACATATACTGTTGGAGTGTCGAACTTGGTTTGCGCAGTCATTCTAATGTTTCTATTCTGTTAGTTTGTGCATGTGATTGGAACTACTTGAGTTCTACTTTATTGATTACTGGAGATCCAGACATTCATGTATCATTACCTTTTGTATTAATATACTTCTATTTGCAACTGGCAATGTTTTGACTTTTGTGCCAATTGTGTACTGTCTTAGAAAAAGAGAGTGACTGAAAATGAAACCAGAAAAAAGTGGCTTATGCAGTGAGACTGTGCAATCCGCACAGTAATCCACGGCAACTAATTAGAAACCATCTTTATCTGATCTTACCACAAAAACTGTAATCTGTATATTATAGGTATCTTCACTTTGGAATGCCTTACCTAATAAGCCAGGACCTTTCACTTAGCATGGATGTTTTGTGTTGCTTAGAAGAATGCAACCTGCTTCAGTATATGATGGTTTATTTGTATTACAGGTTCTAGATCAGAGCAGGCAGTGGTGGATGGTTGAGAATGTACAGGGGCAGAGAGGTTTCATCCCAAACAACATACTGGAGAGCACAGACAATGGACAGGTATACTGATGATTTATTGTGGTTTACTTTGGGGAACAAAATTAATGACTAAACAGATACATTTTGTAGATTGTTGTTACACGTTAGAAAACTGTACCTCTGTTTTGCTGCTCTACAGTTGCCTGGACAAATACCAACATCAATAAAACCCCATTCAACTCCAGGAGAAGTGACAGCATGGTTACAAAATAAGGGATTTTCAAGAATGTAAGTATGGTTCTATGTGGTCTAAATCATGTTATTAACACTTAATAACTGGTAATTGGTATTTACTAAGGCACAATACATTAAAAGCCTTAAAATAAAGATGGTAGGACAAAAACATGAACTATCTTAGCTGACTTATATTTAAAGGTACATACTGGAGGACCATTTTTCATATTTTCCCTTCACAACTTGTGAATAACTGACCTGGAAGTACAAACACATGAATAAATGGTGTCAGGGCACCCAATGTGCACATGCTTGCTCTGGGCTGGTGACTCACGAAGTAATGAAGCCAGGATAAGTGAGAAAACCATAGGCATGTGTTTTTAATAGAAAATCAACAATGGCTGGTCCCAGATTCTAATCCTAACAGAATCCCTTTGAATAAATAAAGGGAAAGCATCGTGCAAAAGTTAAATATTATTTTGTTATTTATTATTATATGAACTAGAAAATTTTCATTACAAGGACATCCTTTTATATTCCCATTGAAAATAACCCTTGTGTTTCCTATTTTTCAGCACTGTGAAGTGCTTAGGAATTCTGACAGGTAATCAGCTGCTGGAACTGTCTCGTCAGGACCTGAAGGCCGTTTGTCCTGAAGAAGGTGGCCGCGTATTTACTCAACTGAACGACATTTGATCATCTCTAGAAGTAAGTTGTTCAATAGATGTTACATCAAGATTCTATTCTTTTATATTGAAAGGAAGACATAATGAAGACAAGATTACAGTTTTTGGAAGATTTGAAGGGGGCCTGATATAGACTTAAGAGGTGGTGTTTTTAGAAATTAATGAGTGTATGGGCTGTATTGCCCCTATTAGGAACATGTGTTCCCAATTAGGTCCAATAAATCCTATTTGTGAGTCCCTATTTACCCCTATTTCCCAAGGTATTTTAGCAAGTAACAGCAAAGCTGTGGGTTACACTACCCACTACTGTGCATTGATCCTCTGCATACAAGGCCAGAGTTTCTCCTACCTTGATTCTCGCTCCCTATGACAATGATTGGGCAATTCAAGTTTGTAAACAAATGCCCGTTCATAGTTGGTAAGATGAAAAAGACAGATCAAGTTCAAGCAAACATTCATTCATATACTAAGAGGGATATTCACTAAGGAGCCGAAGAATAGAGCCATAGCATCAGCTAATCCTTTGGCTCGCTTCGGCAACAGCATGAGTCATAGTTAGTCAGGTTGAAAAAAGACAAGAGTCCATCGAGTTCAACCTATAGCGATAAGAGGAGAAAAAGAAGAAAAGCCTAAGCAGAACGCTATGCCCACAATTAGCCACTGTTGATCCAGAGGAAGGCAAAAAAACCCCTATAAAACATGGTTCAATTTGCTCCAACAGGGGGAAAAAATTCCTTCCTGATCCCATAAGGCAATCGGATATTCCCTGGATCAACAAAACAATCTCTGATGCCTAATATACCTATAAGAACTCAATATCCAGTAATATTCTCTGCATTAGGAATACATCCAGATGCTTTTTAAAACAATTAACCGAGCAAGCTAGAACTAGCTCCTGTGGGAGTCTATTCCACATTTTCAGCCAAACCTTCGGTTCAGCCAAACCGAAGAGCTGCTGTATCACCTATTCACAGCAGCCTAAGGAAGCTGAACAGCTCAGCCGGCCCTAACGCTTATGTTTCAGCTCAGCTGAGCCGCAGCCACAGCAGAAGTGGGGAGAATGGTCTGCTAAAGCAAAAAGAACGGTGTTCGATCCCCCTCCCAATCCATACCAGACCCTTTAGGTCTGGTTGGAAAATTAAGAGGGACCCTCGAGTTAAAGATAAAAAAAAAGTGCGTGGGGTGCCCCCCAAAAGTCATACAAGGCCCTTTAGATCTGGTAGGAATTTTAAGGGGGAACTCCACCCCCAAAAAACTGGTTGTTTTTATTTTGCCGCCATTTGTCAGAATGTCATTTTGCGGCGTGAGTTCGTTGCGGGCTTCTGGGTTTTTTGTATTTTGATGAGTCAGCGGCGTTTTGGACAATGCTGGATATTGTGATTGACCTTTGGATTATGGTAGTAAATTCATTTTTTTATTTTTGGCGTTTTCATTTTTTTATTAAAGGACTTGTCAAAAACCTTTGTTGTGGGTTTTTTTTCAATTAAATGATTTTTTTCTTAGTCTTGTCTGTTCATTTACTATTTACTTTTAACCCTTTAGTGAATGAGTAGGGGAGGGCAGCATTGATGCAAATAAGTCCCCCTGCCCGCAGATCCCCACAACCAACGGGCCAGGGCTTGTGGGAATGCCCTTGTCCCTATTGGCATGGGGACAAGGTGCTTCTGCAGGGGGGACTCTGGAAAAGCACCTTCCAATTCCGAGGGCATGTGGCCTGGTGTGGTGCAGGGGGTAGGGGAGGCACTCGCTCGCCCCCCCCCCCCCTTTCCCCCCCCCCCCGGCCTTTTTGGGGGGAA